AAACATTTATTTGACAACATCAAACTCATAATTTAATTTAGATAAATTTCTTTAACAGATATAGAGGGTACGAATAACTTATAAAACTGATTGTATCTTAACAAAATTAAATTTCAGAATATGTTTTCGTGGCATCCTTCTTTCTCTTTATTAAATTAAAGAAATTCAAAATTTAAATCTTATTTTTATCCAACGAGTAACAAGATAAGGTGTTTATTTTCAAGTTCCGTCTAAACCATACCGGCCATGAAGAGCTCTGCCCATATCCGACTAATTCCGCACCTTCGAATTGGCCCTCGAGCCAAAACGAGTCTGACATATCTGCTTTATAGCCGTGCATTACACCGACGTAGACGAAATTGCATTTAATCTGTAGATTAAGCCGTCGAGTTCCAATTTGGTTCAAGTACGTGGCGACGTTTCATTTCGATCTTCGATCGGAGGATTTCGATGACACGTCGCCGGTATCGAGGAAATTTCGAGCGATAGATTAACACGTCTCGCTGTTTAATCGGACTCTGTCTTAGGTCCCATTGTTCTCGACGCGTTTGCTATCAAGCGTTTATCACGTGAATGCATGGCACGTCGCCGACAGCTGACAAGGGAACTACGATTTTCGTCAATTTTATATAGACGCTTTGAACGACCCATGAGATATTCGAGCGAGTATGCCTAACACTATCTTTTTATTTAACCCATTCGCGTTCGGCAAATATTTTACGTTTCTAATACCGAAAGTACTGACGAAAATAATAAAATTACAAAATACGTTTTGAAATATCAATGTTGTAAATATGTAGTGTATAAAATAAAATATTTTCCAAATTTTTTCATAACCAGGAATGTGTTAATTAGTTCGCAATGTTTCTATCTATAGGTAGCTCGACATGGGACTAATAGGGATGAATTTTTTTCCAATTGGTAGCTTACCTTCCGGCCAGTTTTCAAACACATGATGTGCTATGTCCCCCGCGGAGTCGCTTGGACTGAATAGGAACTCTTTTGTCTTACCGCTGACAAGAATGAGGCGTAGATTTATCTGCAAAACACACAAAAATGATGGTCGTCAATGTTCGGTTCGTTCTTGGCTAAATAACACATTTTTAACCCTTTCGACCCTAGTGGCACATGAATGTCACAGTGAATATGGAGCAAGTTTCATAAATATTCGAAACCCCTATGTCTATTAAAGAAATTTGTTTAAATTAAATGGTAGGTTTGATGTTTTCAAGTTCATTTAGTAATATCAAAACTATTATTTAATTTAGTCAAACTTTTTTAATAGACATTGAGGGTACACATATTTATGGGATTGACTGTATCTAGTTGTCATTGCCCAAATTACAATTAGGACTCATCTTCTTATCCATATATAGCCTTTGATTTATAGACAAACCTAGTCTAATACAATTATTTTCTAAAAACGAATAAAATTTAAATAGCAAACAACAGAGTCGAAAGGGTTAATCCAACATGGATTCCTTTTATTTTTGAAGACACCATATTTTACTATACGATATTATAATTAATTATTCTCATCCTTCTCAACCCCAGTTTCACGTATCCCCATACAATGAACGCTAATAGAGCAATCACACGATTAACCAAAGCATTCTCAGGTCCCTAACGTTCTATCCAGCACCAAAATAAATTTACAAAATACAAATTGGAACGAAACTGGAGGCTATAAATCATCACTATCTCCAACCCCTTCCCGGCGGAGGTACACGTGTCGTAATTCCCGTTCTTTTCAACCCTCTGCCCTTAATCTTCATTTCCTCACTGTACACTTTGAATCACAAATGTCGACCGCGGCCCCTTCGAGGCGTGTCTCGCCACCACGTGTTACATCAAGGGCCCGACCTGGGGTTGGTTTGCGTTCCAAAGGATAAAGGAGAGAGTACACTCGGGAAACATTGTGGAGAAAAAAAAGAAGTGGAAGAAAGAAAGCTTCGAGCACCGTGACAGCGGAATGCGCCGCGCGAGGGGACGCGAATGGTATTTACCGTTCACGGTGTACATATACGGTTCGTTTCTTATCTATCTTTACTTTGGAGACCGTATGAAAAGGAATTAGACCCGACTTTGTCCTAAACCTTTAAGCCTGGCTGTTGGGTTCTGGTCACGTAGTCGCGCCTCCAGCCAGTAAATACGTCGAAAAGCGTAATTTTTCAACGTTAGGTCCGGGTACGGTTGCGACTTTACGAGTGCCGAGACTTTCGCGTGATAGCTTACGTTGAACCTGAAGGACGGTCGTTGTGGCGCGAAAACACCTTGCGGTTCTTGAGATGTTGGTAGCGCGTAAATATTGCCGGTTAATCCCCTGGTGTTATTGTTTTAAGCTTCATTGACACGAAAAACTCACGAAGAGTCCTTATGCGAAACCAATACATACCGTAGGGCTATTTAAATGAATCCGTCGATCATGTTTATTTGTGTACAATCTCGATAAATTTTGTAAAATTTTTACTCAATAAACACCTGAAAAGTGTATTCTGTTCACAGTATTAGGTGAAGGTTATTGTAATCATTGTTGATAACAAACACATCCTAAACATAACCAAACGATGTGTGCACTCAATAATTGTAAAGTATATTCAACATACATAGTGTATACATATTTTGTGTATGTTTACTGTGTTATTCTACGACATAAATGCACAAAATTTGCAGCCTAACCCTCCACGATGACCAAAATAAAAAGCTCCGTCGAAAAGAACATACCAGAGACTCTTTCTTACAATGTAATGAAACAGAAGTTAATTTCTCCGTACAGGCGATATGAGATTCCGTTAACGAGTCTTCAATTGACGTCGGTCGCGTGAACGCGTAGCCACGTTTCGCTGCGACGACGGGGACAATTAAGACCGTATTAATCGTCTCGGTTCCTCCATTTTTCTCTAGCTCCCTCTCTGCCCAGCTCTCCTTACTCTCATCCTTTCTCTTACTCCCTTCCACGTCGACGAATTACGGTCAGCGGGAGTTCTCCGACGGATGCAAATTCAATTACCGTCTCGCGCGAAGACCGGCCAACATAAATAATTACCGACGAAGCCAGACCCGCGGTCGTGGAAAAGGGTGCTTTGTCCCCCTCCCAGCCCCCGCTCGTGACCCCTTGCGGTTCCTGCGGTCGCGAGAATCCGCTACGAGTTGCTAGAGCATAAATCATTGTCCCCGTGCAGCGAATTATCGCCTGACGGCACGTGAGCCTCTGACCTGCCCTTGCCACCAGCCCTGGATTGAGAATTTTATACACCCCTGAGCCTACAGGCCCCCCATGTTTTCAAAAAGACGAGGAGCAGTTGCAGGGAAACTGAATTTATTTTTTTAGGGTCTTCTCATTTGTTTTATTTTAAAGATTCTACTTGCTGTGGATGAATTTCCATCTGGAGAGTGGAATCTACCAGAAGAAAGGAGCCTCCAACCAACCTTGGATCAGGAATTTCATAGCTTCCTTGAACTTACAGGTCCCTCATATTTTCAGAAAGACGAGGTGCAATTGCAGGAAAATTAATTTCTTATTCTTAATTTTTTATTTTTTTTTAAAGATTTTACTTGCGGGGTGTGAACTTCCACCTGGAGGGTGAAATCCTTTAGGGAGAAGAAGCCTCCAACCTGCCTTGAATCGGGAATTTTATACATCCCTGATCTTTTACAGGCCCTTCATATTTTCAGAAAGAGCAGCATCAGTTCTATTGGAAATTAAATTTATTTTTCAATGGCTCTTCATTTGTTTTCTTAAAAGATTCTACTTGTAGGGGATGAATTCCCACTCGGAGGAAGAGGGGAGTGTAAGATACGATGCACTTGGGGATTAAACCCTTAAATTAAAGAAGAGCGAGGAGCCAATTAGTGGAGCTGGAAGGAAATGCTATGTTCATCTTGCATCCTATGTAATTCATTAGAGGTTATATATTGAAAATCACGTATTCATAGTCTGCAAAATATCGAGGATTCCCAAACGGGAACAACCAACCACCATCAAAGCGGTTGATCCATTGTTTACCATAGAGTCATAAATGCCAGAAACCTGTAATGTTTCATCCTTGGCCTGAATTCGTCGAATTAATCTCTGAAGGCCCTCCAACCAATGAACCCTAAAGCCCTTGCCTTAATACGGCTCTGGCCGTGACTACGCCCCCTCATGGCGTTTCGTCGTTTCGAACTCGAGAAGTTTAGTACTTTATCGAGCGACGTATTGCAACCAATTGCGGAGACACGGAAAAATTCTTAATAAGGGAAGCGTATCAGGGACACCCTGAAAGTCAGGTCGTAGGGTTGAAAGGAAGGTAGCATAAATCACAGAGGGTTGTTCAACGACGTCGTCGCCATCTTTGGATGATATGGCAATTTTGATCTTCCTGGAAAAATACATCCATGAAGCTGTTTATCATCGAGAGAAACTTTAATCCAAAACAGGTTTCTAAATTGAAGTGTATCCTTGGAGGTTTTCAAACGGTTGGAAATGAGAAACATGTGGAAAGGACTCTGATGTTCCCATCGTCCTTTCCAGACGGTTTGCCTCTATTTATCTTCTAGGGAAACCTTAATCCAAAACAGATCTCTCTTCAGATCTATCAGTCGATGAAAAGCAAGGATGGGTTTGAAGCACTGATCCTCATGCGGAGGGTGGACCGGACCGTTTCGTTCTTCAGATAGCGAATACGATTGTTCGTCAAGATTCTTTGAAATGTATTCCTTTGAAATAGTATCGTGTACCATTCTACTCTCATATTATTCCTCTCGTTACAATAGTATCCTTTTGTACCCTGTTACCGTATCGCCCTACCCTTTTCCTCCTACGTTTCAGATATTTCTTCTACGACTCTGGTAATTCTAGGAGCTTAATCCTATGCGGTGAAAGTATGGTGTATTGCTGGAAATAACTTCATTGCTCCGAGAATTTGCTGTCGGAACAGTTTAATAATGCAAACTGAAACTTACGTTTCTCTAAGACGATAGGAGATATTTTACTACAAAACAGACCATTTTGTTACCGAGAGTGCAAAACTTAAATTTAAGATTAGTTTCATATAGCAATATTTTGACAATTACAGACTATTTTCGACACTATTATAAAAATCTGTCCAAACCATGGTACACTGATCACAAGCTTTCTAGAGACTTCATAACATTCGTTAATAGGAGCCACTCCAACCACTATAATTTAAACGCCTCTTCAGTCAGAGTTAAGTTTATCTCAGACGGCGATTGTGATTGCGATGCAGTGTCTCAAGATTTGAACCACACTGTTTGGCAGTGTCCGGAATACAATTAGCAGCGTGAAGTTTTGTTCCATATGCTTTTCGGTAACGAATATCGTCCTCTGTATTGGATTAGCTCGTTTTTGAGTGAACCTGATATTAAAGGAATAAAAATTATTCATAGTTTTCTCAAAGACTGTAATATAAGAATTTGACGTAAATAAATTGTAATTATCAGAACTACTATATGCTGTATAAGCCATTTATGGTTTAAAGCAATAAAATGAATAATTAATGACAATTACAGTTATGATTGTAACAATTTCAGTTGTTATCATAATGCGAGAATTTAGCAAGCATAATAACGCATCGAATGAAAACTGCGTGTTTAGGTCTTCGTAAAAGTTTGGAAACCGCTGGCTTAAACAACGACGAGGGATACCAATCGCGATTGTGCCAACTCGTTCAGTCAAATATGGTGTTTTGTTGCGGTGGAGCTTGATGAAATTGCGCGCGAGGGTAATAGGAAATTAATTAGCAGCCGCGAGTCGTAAAGCCGGCTTCGGCTGCGCGACCGTAAATAGAATTTAATGCTATGCAAAACTCCGCAGCGCGCTAATACCGTTAGTTCGTAGTTTATAATTAATCTGCGCGAAACTGGGCCCCGTCGGTAACGATACACTGGACAAATATTACCGAGCGTGTCGTACTCGACACAAAGGTTCAATCGTCCCACGCGACGACGTGAGAGCGAAGCGTGAACACGTGCACCGAGCTAGGATTAATCGCAACTATAGTTGTTACCGTGGATTCTCGTTATTAGAGACAGTATCGT